CCCTCTCATCCATTTTCTCTTCTTCACCCATTTAGAGGCTTATCAATACCGCCACCGTGAGAATCAGCTTGTCCTCAAGCTGACACGAATCAATCTCAGCAACACTATAGCTTCAAGGAATCAATCAGTGACTTAGTGTTGGACTTGAAAGGCCATGATTTAAAGAACATCCTCGGCTTCATCTTAGCTCGCATCTGTTCAGTCGTAGAAGACATATGAACCACCATGGAAGCATTGTTTTTGTCACTAGCAGTTGGTAATGTATACATCAACTCAACCATCACATCCTCATGTAAAGTGTGGAATTGTTGTTCTGGAGGAGCAAAAGCCTAACCGATATGTGACTGAAAATGATCCAATGAGCCATTGGACAAGTCCATGTTGCCATTTGGCGATCCTCACAACTTTAAGTCTCCATTTGCTGAGGTTGTATAACAAGATCTGTGGCCAAGATTGACACTATAACCTCCTCTGAACCATGGTCTAGAATCAAATCAGATAACTCCAAAGACTTGGTCTGCATTACGTCATCCTTTATCTTTCCATAGTGTGAATGCTTCTCCTCATCCTCTGTTACGGTTCTTCTCTTTGTAGTCCTGAGCCTAAAAACGCCAAAACCAGATTGTAGATAGAACCCAGCTTTCATCACCAATTCAGATGCGACAATCACAAACAGCATTGATAAAAGCCTAACTCCCTTTTGTAGTAGCACCAACCAAATCTTCATTTTCTCATTTTGTTGCAAGAAAAAGAGTAGCATCCGTCGACTTTTCTGCAGTTTCTTGTGTCTCCAACAATGCCACACAGAACAATATTCTTCTTTCTTGTGTCTCAACCCCAAACCAACAAACATGTATTCCTTCCCGTTTTTGAGCTATCCAAACACCCACACCAAGAACNGATCGGGACTCATCGAAGATAAACCCACTAACTTCTGACAACAAGCTATTGTTCTTCACGAACACATATATGAATTCCACAAGAACGTCTCGTGATTCATTGGAAACTCGATTCTATCTGATTCGAGACATGAGACATCGATCCCATCTCATTACTTGAATCGATGATTCGGTCACCGAGTTCGAGTCTTTCTCTTCAATCGTTTTCCCCTTTCTTGATTCTGTTGCCTCAATCGATTGCACCTCTTGATCATCAGCCTGATGAGATCGCTTCTTCTCTCCTCTGCATCTCCGGTGTCTTCGATTTTCGATTCTCTCCCGTTACCAGCTTCCAAATCTCCTCGATCGTAGCTTCCATCGAATCTAGACGCCTCCTTGTCTCTTTTATCGATGAATCTAGCTTCTCGGCGATTTCCTCCACTCGATCAGCGACTCCGCTCCGGTGATTGGATTCAGAACGTTCTTCGTCGGCGGCATCTCAAGACAGCTCACCGCACCAATTGATAATAAGACTTTCGATGTAAAGAACCAACGAAAGTTAGTTTTTTTTTACCATTTTGGTAGCTTAACTCAACAAGACGGATACCGCTCGATGTTATGTTTTTTCCGGATAGTCTCTTCAAGGACAAGAGATCTCTCTCATCAACGGTTCATTCGAATGCAGTGACCCTTGATCTCTCATCAATTTCAACATACTATGATACTTCTGCACTTTTATTTATCTAGTCATATAGCAAAAGCCAACATTGAATTAACTTGAGATCCACTGATCAACAAACTATAAGATACATACTGCTAGAATAGAATGCAAATCATCACTACAGGAATCATGCAAAATATTGGTAAAATAACTTTAAAAATCGCTACGGGAATCAGAGCACTTCGTGCTGCTTAGTTGATCCCCGAGCGAAAGAGTTTCATAAACATATCTGTCGATACACACACACACACAAAAAGAGAAAGAAACTATACAAAAGGGCTATTTTTCTTGCTACGTAGGAACTCTTTGCTTTTACGTTCCTTTTCACATACCCATATACACGTATTGCTATACATCTGCTGCAGATTTTGCTTTTGTTCTTCTACTACCACAATCCAGCTACTGGGCGCATTGTGCTTGTGAAGATAGACTTGTTTTTTCTTTTCTCAAAGAGTATCATCCGTTGTCCTGTTGGACCATGCAATCTCAATATCCAGTGATCTGGAAGAAGCATCTTTGCTGTTTTCATGATTCAAGCTTAGAGATCCGTTGTACACTCCTTCTGTCACGACTTTGTCGATCTGGATAGTGACACGGCCTAGAGTTGTCTGCAGACAAGAATTTGTTCTGTGTTAGAAAAGGACCAGTTAAGACAACACATAGCTTACATACTGAACATCTCTATCGAGTTCCAATTCTGCAACCTGGACAGTGTGACCCCTATTTTTCACAATGTTACCTTCCCGAATGTGCTTTTGCTCTTGCATATGATGTGAAGCTTTTGTCCTTTGGGGGGAACATCAAATGCCCAAGTAAAGCCTTCTTTCCACTCGGGAGAAGAGCTATTGCTCACGACCTACAGGAAAAGAGACCAAACCCATTATACAAGGAGAAGTTAATTGGCAATGGTGGAATGTAGAATCTTCTCCTAGGATGACTTTGCTTTACCTTAGTTTGCCGTGGAGGACAGTTTCCTATTGTTAGTTGGCAAAAGGCGTTTGTGGTTCCCATGGACTGTTTTAAGTTATTGGCACGCATGACGTTGACAGTTAAGCAACCTGGTAAGCAGTGCAATAAGCTGTCTGCCTTGTCGTGGAACCTAGGAGGGCATGTTTTCATCAGCATTTGCAGGACAGGAATTCCTTCAGCTGCGATCATGGCTTGAGACTTTGCAACATCTATAGCCATATTTGTCCACGACTGTCTTAGCAAGTAGAGGATATCCAATACTAATCCCTGGACATCTTCAACACCGGATTTGAGCGCCCCTACCAAATGAGGGATGCAGAAAGTAGCAGCTTCTGAGGCGCGGAGCTTAGGAAAGTTGGAGAATATCACATTTAAGGTCCTCAAAACTTCGATATTTATAGTTGCTGTAGACCACAGGCCTCTCTCAAGTGCAGCTGTTCAGCCACAGTTGAAGATAAGAGCAAAGAAATTATCAGAATATAAAAGTCTGGAACAATGGCCCTGAGGAAACTTCAGCAGTCTAGTGCTAGAGTGACATATGATAAGCATAACTTTTAAATTGAAAAAGTACCAGTTAATGATCTTATAAGCTCATTCGAGACATANTCTTGGAGTGTGTGGTTGGAGAACAAAAATTTGACCATCAATGCAGCCTGCCCAGAAACTTCTGCATTGCAAGAAAGCAGTAGCTCTTGAATTAACAATACGCCACCAGCCTCTGCAACAGCTCGCCTATTCGTTCTACTATTCATCACAAAATTCTGCAACGCACATATGGCCACGACTTTCATTTCTTCTGTTGGTTGTTCTTCTAACAAGCTAATGAGTGCCCGACATGCGGAAACAGAACCACTGGATCTAGAAAGCCCTTCATGCTGAGAAAGATCTCCAAGGGCCAGAGCAGCAAGAAGTCTACCAGGGTCTGATCTTGTCTGAGGGTCCAACAGATATTGAGATAGTGGTGCTATTGCATATTTGCATAGCTTTAACTCTCTTACCCTCGGATTGTTAAATATTACTTCAAGTAAGCTTCCCGATTCTTCCTCGCATTGATGAGATCTAAGGAGGTCCAGTAATGCATCGATTGCGCCAAGCTCAGCCATTTGTACTGTGCTTGTAGCATCGTTCTTCTCGTGAATCATCAATGCTTTAAGAGCCAGCATCACTGTGCTTTCAATTGTCGAGAACAACAATTTTACTAAAACTGGAAGCTCAACTCTGAAAAAGCATTCCGCATCATACTGGAGAACATTGGAGAGAACAAAAGCAGCTGACTCCCACAGATCAAGAGGAGGCTGAGGATCTTCCTGAAGAATAACCTTGGATAGCTCGAAAATACCTCCAGCATCAAGAACAGCCTTAGGCCAGCTAGCAGAGATCTTCTCCAGTGCCTTAATCGCAGTTTCCTGCAGGCTCAGTATTCCAATTCCAGCAAGCCGAACCAAAGGAACAATGGCACTCTGTGTTGTGATGTCTTGCTGGAAATCTTCCATTGTAAGAAAATGGCTCAGAAGTTCTGCTCCAAGCTGCTGGATAGCTTGAGATGAAGACTCCAAAAATGAAATCAAAGGCACGATGGCTTCGCTGGGTGTAAAAGTAAAAGCTTCAAGGCTTTGCTGTTTTTCCAAAATGTTTACAAGTGCTTGCAGGGCACTATGTTGCCCCCATAAGGTCAAGTCTGATCGGAGCAAGACCATGAAAAGAGGCTCTACAGTTTTTGTAACATCTGGTCTTCTTGCGATTACTCCACTGTTTGTTAAAATTCGAAACAGCTCTGCAACAGATGAACATAACGAACTTGAGGCTCCAGGTAGTAGCTGAAGACATCGATCAATTATTCCAGCTTCCACCATCTCCAACTTGCGTGGTACTCTGTCTTTCCCCAACTTAATGAGAGCTGNTAAGCTAGCTTCAATAATCCTGTAATTTGTTCCAGAAACTAAGCCAACGAGAAGCTCCTGAATGTCATGAGCTGCNGCGAGTTCTAACTGTTGCTCGTCATCCAATAATATCTTAATAGCACAAACTGCTGCNTCAACTGCTGCACTTGTTTCAGACTGCATNAGNGTTATTAGAGGCTTCATGCATCCGGAGGCAGATGNACTTGTTCTGACATTTTTATTCGAGAAAACAATAGAACAAAGTCTGGCAGCATTTATCTTTAACTCCTCTGAAGCAGAAGCAGATGATAAGATTTTGTTCACGTTTTCCNNTAGACTTCCTTCCACATCAATCAGAAGAGCTGTATTNGAAGTATTTCCTGAGCTTAGTTTATTCAATGCAGAAAGAGCGATCTCTTGCTCACTCTCTGATACAGTANNAAGCATGTCCATCAGTGGTTGAACAGCCTGGCNGGCNATTTCAGAATTTCTGATGNTTTCAGCATCAAAGAGTTCATTCAGGGCCCNAGCGGCACTGTATCTTGCACTTCTNGAACCCAAACGAAGTACTGCNATAAGCTGATTCAAGGAACTTAGTGNCACNNCGTTTTGTCTAAGNTCGTGGTTGCTAAATAATACCCTAAGCAATTCAGATATGGTGTACTCAGTTGAATCTTGAGGACTTAGAGAAAGGTACTTTGTCAAAGCTTCCACAGCTCCAGCNTCACCCATTANTAATTTATTTGTGTCACTTCTATCAGCGATGCGAATCAGGATTTGGACGGCAAATTGAGGGGCTCCAGGCCTATCTGGAATTGGCCTTAAGAGATCTACAAGCAGCGNGATAGATTTGCGTGCAGTGGAACCAAGCCTTACATCTTCAATTTCAAAAAGGTGTTNAAGAATNACTTGGTCAGGCTCTTTCACCANAGAAAATTCATTTGCCAAAGCAACCAAGTTCAAAATCTCTGACTCCACATAGCCAAGGAGGTTTNTTATCCCAGAAACAGCTCCTGAGTTTGCGATTGTCAGATTTATTCCNCTGTCCCTAGTACAAACAAGACTAGCCATTGCGTGGGCANNGAAATACCGATCTATCAGTTCATCAGATCTTAGCAAAAGTGCAAGTGTTGGAATGATCCGCATTGTCGTTGAAGACAAGGACGCATTATCATCCTGGAACATGATAGCCAAGAGGAGAGCGCTAATCCAAATGCCTTCTGTATCCTCAAACTCAGCCTGGTAAAAAAAAAAAAAAACTCAAGATTGCTCTTAAGTGGGAAATTCAGACAAGGCATCTTTGCCAGAAAAAGGAAAATAAGAATCAAGTCAAATGTAAGACACTAAGAGCAGTGTGATTCAATACCAAAATGCACAATTATGCTTGACAAAGTGGTGATAACTCCTGGAATTTGACTGTGACAGACCCTCTGAACTAACATAAGGTCCTAAGGCCAAAATCCCGTCCCACAAAGTTGTATAACTCAACACAGAAGTTGCTATTTTATTTCATTTCCAACGAAGGTACCCTGTAGGATAGATCTCCANGACCAATAAACATGAAGAACAAAATGATTTTTATATGACCGAAAAAGAAACATTTACCTGAGGACTGGAAGTATACCTAGCAAGCCTCCCATGGAGCACCTCAAGTCCGCCAGCTTCCATGACAATGAGCTTTGACTTAGCATCAACAGAAGTGAGAATGCATAGCAGCCACAATGCGACTGTACCACCCAAGATTTTAGCTGGATCCGGAAAATAAAAATCACCTGTATCCTGGAAAACATTTTTTTCCATAAAAGCTTTAGGTGTCTGGAAATCAGTTTCTAGGGAAAAGCCTTTAGAATTGTGCTTTATCATATCTACTAGGGCATGTAACAAGAGTTTTAAAAAACCAGACAGGTCAAGTGCCTCCGTGATCAGCTGCTTCTTTTCTTTTGCAGCACATAAGAGCAACGCTGTCGCCCCAACTCTCACTTCTAAGCTGGATGCATTTACTATTCTATCAGCCAAAAACCCCATTGACTTTGGTCTTGAAATTATAAGTTCACCGAGTAGAAATTGTTGATCAGAGCAAAGCCTGGACAAAATTTCTATTGCCTTATCTTGCACAAGAGTATGGCCTTCAGCAAGGCATTGCACAAGGGTCTCTAGGCTTGATGGCACTTCGGCAAGGGCAATCCATGGAGGGTAAGAGAAATTCACCCCATTCTTAGTCCTTGCCAAGAGTGCAACTACTTCCAATACGTTGAAAGCATCTGTGCTATCCATATCCATTGATTTTAGAGAATCAACGAGTGAAAGTATCGCAAAACGGCACTGAGCACTTCCCTTTAGCACATCACAAACTGGAAAGTTCTTAAGTAACTGATGTAGTGCCCGTGATGCATTTCTCTTACCCGTTGGAGATCCATCAGCCAAAATTCTTGTGAAAGCAGAAACAACATCTTCAGCTAGTGCTTCTGCAGCGATGTCCNGATCAGACAGAAGATTTGCCAGGGCAGAAACTGCAATTTCTGCAGACTCAATTGAAGAGTCCTTAGCCAATTTTATGAGTGACTTAATATCTCCTTCTGCAATGTAAGACTTCTTCTTATTAGAATTCTTCTTAACCGGNCGGGACAGTGCGTCCAAAGCCCTAGCCACCTGTTTCGCCACATTCTGAGTGTTGTTTGTGAGGAGCTTGATCCAGGGGTTAATAATGTCATCAGTCGCAAGATGATCGCANANATCTTGTCTTGAGCTGAATAGATCAGCTAAAACTGAAGCNGTATGCTCCTTTGTTTCTTCCTTGGAAGAGGTAAGGGACTGGACAAGGGACCTCAGTCCTTTGTTAGCGGCACATCCTCTATGAATAAGATCCTCTTGTGAAGCTTTTGAGAGCACATGACCCAATACTTTTATCACATGAACCTTGCAAGCCGGATTATCTCCTACAAGTAAAGCCAACAACTGATTAATTGTGGCAGGATCGGCTATACGGATAAGCTTCACAAGTGTCTTTGCAAATATTTCCTGAGAACTGGTTCCACTGGTCTTCAGTAGCCACAGGAATGCTGGAATACCACCAGCTCATTTCAACACAATCGCGGATTTCCTCACTGTGACAGCTCAAATTCCAGAGGATGAGGGCAGCATCTCCCTTGGCCTTCTGAGATCCAGTCTCAAGCAACTGGACAAGTGGAGGAATCCCCCCGGCTGCGGTTACAGCCCATTTACTATCATCGACCTGGGCTGTCAAAATTTCCAACATTTCAACAGCATACTCTTGGTGTTGCTCACTAGACAAACCTAGGAATGATATAAATAGTTGGATTCCTTCTCTCTTTCCAACTGCCTCCCAAATTCCAACCTNGTCATCGCNTAACCGAGACAANCAAATTATAAGATGCTCTCGTANATCAGTNGAAGCCATAGTTATGAGAGCAATAAGGACNCTCTTAGCTTCTGCATNATCTAGNGAACACGATANACTACTGTTTCCGTACAAGCTCGCCATAGCCTCCAAGATCCGCTCNTGGATTAACTTTGTGTCACGAGGCTTNAGTAACTTNACCAAAATGCTCTCTATCACTGTTGNATCANATATCTTCTCAGAACTCTCNNGTTGTTTGAAAATCATTAGAGCATAGGCAAGAGCTCCAAGTACATCACCAATTGGTTCCGTTAGACGAGGAGATTGCGATACTTCTCCAAGATATATAATTAAATGGTGCATCCCACCAAACACANTTGCCAAAGCTCCAGTTGCATGTTCTTGTAGAGACTGTCCATGTTTTCCCTGCATACACTCTTTCGATGGGGCAACAATGGCNCCAATGAGAGCATTAACACCTCCTGCATCTTTAACACATTTCTTAGCCTCATCGGATCTTGATGAAAGAGCTTCCAAAGCATCTGCTGCACTAGCACGAACATTTGTACCATTTTTCTGTTCCAAAAGCTGAATCAGAGACTTGACAACTCCAGAATTTAATATTTTCTGGATGCTATCAGCAAAGGACNGTACTAGACGAGCCANCANAGAGGCAGCATTTGCTTGAGAATTAGGATTATCAGATGACAAAAGGGACACAACTGTGTCTACACCGCTACCCTCTAGTGTCTCTCTCCAATAACCATCATCAACGCCACAAAGATTCCTCAAAGCTCCAGTAACATACCCTTCAACCACTTTATCCTGCTTTCCTTTCTGACTAAGTTGATCCCACAAAGTTGGCACTACACCTTCTGTGATAAATATTTTCATGCCAATGTGATCATTGGAAATTCCAGCAGAAGAAACCTCATAAATAGCTTCTGCTGCTGCTTTCCTAGTTTCAATGGTTCCAGACTTCAAAACTGAGAGTAATGGCGGGATGCATCCTCCTAGAAGCACTTTTAGTCGCAAGTCTTTGTCTTTGCACAAAACACAGAGGATTAAAGCAACATTTACTTTGGCCAAACTCGTCCCATTTCTAAGCATGGAGATAAATAAGGGCATTGCTTGGGCATACGAACCGATCAGCCTTCTTGCCTCTCTTCTCGCTTTTGCAATACCTAGTAGACGAGCTGTTGTGAGTTCCTTGTCTTGCGGAGAAGATGTTTTCGCATGAAGTTGCTCTATGAGCTGAGCAACCGTAGCCATTGCCTTCTCTGGGTCATCCATTTCCATTTTTTCATCGATTTCCCTGCACATATTTAGGCAACGATTATCTATTTTTATTTCACAGGACAATAAAAAATTGCAGAAAGAAAAGAGGTGGACAAGAAACTGAAATTTCAGATTCCCAATTAAGCATGTTTTTCAGTAACCTTAACCAAAGAAAATTTTGAGCAATATCGAAACGTTTCAAACTGAAAGTTGATTGGCCTTCTTTCTTGACTGTCTCATCACCGAGAACTTGCTACACTTTTCTCTAAATACTTTTCAAATATAGAAAGTGCCTACCTGGTCTGCGAGGAAGACAATTCTGCCTCCTGCGTTCCAGGAAGGAAGGCCTTCAACATCTGCATAATAACTCTCCTTCAGCTTTTGGCGTCCTAGAAGAAGCTTTGGGTTAGTTTAAAACCACAAGCACAGCGATTGACTTAGTTAACCAACATTCAGACAATCTTTTAAACTACACTGGGCAAAGTGAAACTAGTACTCTGAATGGCAATGGAAATGAAAGACTCAATGCTCAGAACCTTCACAATTCTTTACTATAAAAACTCAATATTTCATCCTTCGAATTCAAAATATCTTGTTTCTTCTAACTATGTCAAATTCATTCATTCTCAAATACAACTCATCCAATGCCAAATAATGGACTTTTAAACTCACACACAAATAATGCAAAACTCCACATTCTAATGCTTCAATTGAAAAACCCAG